TAGTTACTTGCAACAAAGCTTGCCGACTTGCAAGACTTATGTCAGGAGACGTCTGCCAAAATGGCTCTGCCATTTTGGCCCAAGATCGTGGACCGTGGGTCCTTCATAATTTGAAACCCGCCCTCCCTTCCCCATGGCGGCTTTAGCCAAGCCTCCAGAAACCATCCCAGATGCCTATGCCGACGACATCGCAGGGCTGCACTCGTCTGTCTCCACCCTGTTGGCAAGAAAACAGATCCCCTGCTCTGTCCAGGCAGCTTTGGCCAAGGAGGGCTACATTACTCTGGAAGACATCGCCGACCGCTGGGATGATGCGTCGGCCGCCAGAATCAATGGCCCTAAGGATCTAGGTTTTGCCAGCGGGACCAATGGTTTCACAGATCAAAGCAGCGCGTTCACTGCCATGCGTCTCTTTCAGGCAATCAAAGCGGCTAAGGAAATGACCAAGAACCTCTATGCACCTCGATCCAGTGTCACGCCTGGCCAGGCTTCTTCGGATCGTTCAGGCCTCGAAGTGCTTTGTGACCGACACCAGCTCCTCACGGATTGGACTAAGGAAACGGGGCTCCCGAAGCCCAAACTTGAGGCCCAGGGAAGTGACAACCTTCTCAAGGCGCAGTTCCGCTTCTGCTCCAAAGGAGAACTCGGCTTCATCAATGCGAAATACATCATCAGTGCCTTGCCAGAGCTTGAAGAGAAGCCTTTCAAGACAAGGCGAAAAGTGACAGTAGACGGTTGGGACAAAGAAGAGGAGGAAGAGGAGCGGAAGCTCCCGACCACTCGGCGACATCTGGAAAGGATGCACCGCGTCTTCCGCAACAATCTTTCGATGTGTCTTCTTGCTTTCCCCCAGTTCTCGCAGTTCGATGCGTCTAAGCATGATCTTGACGATTGGTATGACTGGTTCTGGGGTCCGGACATTGTGGGGCGAACTCCAGCCCCGTCGGAGAAAACTCTCCTTTACGCTGAACGAAACGCGTGGAGAGCCATCCACAATCTGGTCTACGAGGGCAAATCGCTCAAAGAGGCCATGATGGAAGTTCGTGCTGATGCCCTCTTCTGGACAAGGGAAGTCTACGAGCGCGTGCCTCGGCCTGGGGAGAAGGGTCCGAAGGGCACTCCGAAGGGTGAGAAAGGCGCTCCCTTCGCCAAAGCCCCGGGCAAGGGGTCCTGGAAAGGCAAGCAAACCTGGCCGGCGTACCAGCCCGTGTATCAGCCCTTTCTTAAGCAGTCCACTAAGGGCAAAGAAGGTAAGAAGGGCACTCCCAAGGGCAAGGGCAAAGACTCCTGGCCCCAGAATTGGTCCAGGAATAATCCTAAGGGCACCCCCTTCTGCAGAGATTACCACATCAAGAAGCAGTGCCCCGGTAACTGTGGACGCTCCCACAACTGCCCGGTCACTAAAGACGGTTGGGTGTGCAATGCCCCTCCGAATGAGCACAGTCCGGACAACTGTCCCTACAAGTGAGGACTTCCAGTCCCAGGTGCCCGTGGCCCTGAGGGACACCATTCAAGTGGGCATGCAGCCCTCTGGTAGTGCTCCCTCGGATGACAAGCCCTTCTCTCTCGGGCCTTGGATTGAGGAACATTACCCGGGCTCTCTGCCTGCAAATTGTTCTCCTGAATGGCTTAATGGGGTCCCCGACCGCCTGGTCCGGAGACTCCAGTGGTCCCCCTCCGATTGCACTGCCAGCATTCCTCAGGGTGCCATAATCTTGCCATTCGCGGGCCGTGAGGATGCTTCATCCCTTGAAGCGATCCTCCATGCTCAAGCCCCAGACCTCTCCTCGAGAGTTCTGGCCTTAGATTCCTCTAGGAAGCCCCCTGGTAAGGAGGTCTTAATAACACACTGTTTGGGTTTCTCTGTGCGTCGGCGGTGCAAGGAAGCATCTCCTTTGTGGGAGGATGCCCGGACCTCAACACCTGGGGTTTGGATAGATGGTTTCAGGACTCGGGTACTCTCCAGGCAGTTAGGTCCCGCTCGGCGGAGAACGCCTGGGGTATTGCCGCTCTCCCTGAGGCAACGCTCCACTCGGCGGATGAGGAGAGCACCCTGCTCCTTAGGTTCCTTCTGCTTGCATGGCTAGCCTTCAAGGCGACTTCGTCTAGTGCTACTGCTAAGGTCTTCTGTTTTCTGGAGATGGCTGAGGACCCTGCGCGAGGAGCCACTTCTCCGTCCAAACGACGCTCCTCATCGGCCTGGGCCACTTCGGCTCTGCGTGCTTGGACCTCAGATTTAGGTCTTGGTATTCTGCACTTCGATCTGTGTTCCTTTGGTTGGGTTGTTAGTCGCCCGTCTAGAGCCGTGACGAATCTTCCCCTCCAATCCTGGGAGGGTAAGACCTGCACACACACCCATCACCCCAAACCGGATCGTCCCGTGCCGGGGGACGCTCGACGACCTGAAGCCATGCAGTGTACCGCATCGGCACTAGCTGGTAAGCTTCGCGACACAGGCTCTCCAGCAAAGATTCACCGCCGGATCCTGTTTCCAAACTCCTTGCTGGTCCCTCGCTGGGACAGGAGCGTCCTCACTGGGCGGCTCAAGGGTCAGCACCCCCTGGGGCGGCTGTTCAACCCTCCCTACCCTCGCTGGGAGGGAAGCGTCAGATTGCTGGGTTTCCTGGTGCAGGTACCCAGGCAGGCGATCACTTGCTCGCTGCGACCCCGATGATTGGGTGTGATCGGCCTTCGACGCTACCGCTCTCGGAGAAGCTTACCCTCGACGATGCCACAATGCGTGTGACCCATGGTTTTAAGGTTAGGCCCCTTAGGGATGGTGGAGGAAAGACCTCTCCTGCGGTAGGACCCCTCCACACCTTCGCAAAGGACCGACGGCTCCTGCTCTGGGCAAGTTCATTCGCGAAAAGGCGGGGCCGTGGGTCCCCTCTTTTCTAGCCTCAACGGCCGCGGGTGCCAAGCAGCACCCCTTCCCGGAATCTGTTCTCAACGAGATTCGTGATTTCATCTTGCCCCGGCGCCCCCAACCGGATGCTGGACAGCCCTTTCACTTGGACGTGATCAGGAGACTCCTGTGTGACATCCAAGATGTCGATGCTGAGTATCCGCAGATACTAAAAGAAGGAGTCCCTCTTGGAGTGGATACCCCTACTCTCCAATCTCCGGGCGTCTGGCCCTTGAAATCTGAACTCATTGGTGAAGAGTGGGACCCGGTGGAAGCTCCACCCCCCACTGGCCATGCTAATTACTCCTCCGCGGACACATTTAGGGAGGAGATCCGGGCCAGGAAACCCCCTTGGGCATGGTCATTGGACCGTGCGGCTACTGCCCCAGGGGCGACAAGCCGGGAACAGGACGGTCCGTCGGGTAACGCAGACTCCAGCGCCGGCTCCGGCCGACCCTGGAGCTTCCCGGGCTCTGACGAGGACTGGATCTTGCTCAAGGCTGATGTTACTAAGGCGCACAGGAGAATCAAGATTCTCCTACGAGAGTGGCGTTACCAAGTTGCCCAGCTTGGTGAGGAATGGTGGGTTAACACCGTAGGCACCTATGGAATGGCCAGTGCCCAGCTCTACTGGGGAAGGATGGCTGCCATCCTTCTTAGGATTGTGTATGCCGTGTTTCCCGAGGTCGACTGGGGTTTTGTCTTTGTCGACGACTTTGCCTGGCTACTCCGTAAATCGAATTCCCCTCTGCTGGCAACAGCGATTTGCTTGCTGTTGCTTGCTCTCGGCACTCCTCTGAGCTGGAAGAAAACCCTGCTTGCTGAGGTTAATACTTGGCTTGGCTTTGTCATTGACCCAAAAGGACCCTGTGTGCAGATGGCCCGAGACAAGCACCTGCTTGTCATCGGCATTCTTGAAGAGCTTAAAAGCGGTAAAGTCATGTCGGCTTCTCAGATCGCTAGCGCTTTGGGTAGGCTGCAGTGGGCGACAACGGCCTGCCCCCTCACCAAGCCTTTCCTCCAACCCTTTTGGGCTTGGAAGAAGGCCTGCCTGACCGCAGGACGTCCGGGTAAGCTTATCCGTGCACTCTCAGCTCTGCTCCTCTCTCTTTTTGACCAGAAGTTCAGACAAGCATCGCCGTATGCCCCGCTTGCCATTTAGTCGGGGGCAAGTGATGCTAGCGCCTCAGATGATGGCAGCGCCTATGTGGGCGGCTGGCTTTCCAACGTGGACTCCCCGTCCAAGTCGGAAGTCTTCTGGTTCCACTACCAGGTCACTGCAGAGCGGCATCCATGGGCCTTTGACAAGGGCTGCCCGAAAAAGCGCATTGCTGCCCTCGAGATGTTTGGCACACTGATCCTTTCTCACTTTCTCATGGAGAAGGCGCCTGCGTTCATACCGAACCTCAGGCTCCCCCTGGTCAGCGACAACCAAGGGAATGTGTACTCGCTCCTGAACGATAAGTCCAAGAGGATGCCAACGTCGGTCATCCTCATGGAGGTACTGTACCAGCTGCACCGGCATGGTATGCAGCTCGCTCCCTCCCACGTCAAGCGTGACTTCAACACTTGGGCTGATGATCTGACTCATCCCAACTTTCAAGGTTTCACTCCATCTCTCTGCTTGCCGGTGGAACCCGTGCTCAAGCATTTTTCCCTCATCCGCTCTATCCTGGAAGATCGTATTTTCGACGATCCTGGTGACCTCACCCATGGGCCCGCGCAGGGCGCCCGGTGAGGATGTGGCTGCCTCCTGTACAGGCTTCTTTCTGGACGGCACAAAATTTTGGAACTCTTTTCTGTACAAGGAGGGTTCCCGATCCACAGGTGCCGTAGGCCCTGAAGGAGGGGACCCTCCTTTGTTTCGGAACGGCCTCATTCTTGTCTGAGGTCTTCGACCGAAGGAGCATCCCGGGAGTCGGCAGCCACACCAATCCACCATGCAAAAGAGGGCTTGCGAGCATGGTCTTTTGGTGTGCCATTTTCATGCGGATATCTGACATGTAGGGTTATAAGTAGCGTAACTATACTTATAATCCATAGTAGGGGGCTTAGAACCCTACTTATAACTACCCCTGAACCCTTTGAACAGAAGGTGGCAGAGGCCGAGGGCTGGTCACAAGACCAGCGCGCAGCCTACGACCAGCTGGTGGTGCCTTGGATGCAACGCCTACTATTGCAAGCATGATCCATGCTCTGCATGATGGGGAATATCGGGGAATATAGGGGCCTTTATCATTATCTGATCATTATACTGTAAGTATAATGTATAATCAGGAACCCCCCCCAAATATAGTATAGGTAATCATTCAGGTATTCCTGAAAGCAGTCTCGGCATCCAAGGCGCAATGTCAGCGGTTGGAGGAGTCCTTCAAGTCGCTGGACCAGACAGCAGAGATGCTGCAACAAGGCACCGAGGAGGCCTGGGGGCTTAGGGGCTTAGGGGCTTAGGGGCAGGGAAGGGGAAGGGGAAGAGAGACTTCTTCATGGAAGTCCACGGCCTGTGCTTTGCCCAGGCCGTCGCTGCCCCTGGCGCCACGTCGGCGATCGAGGCGCTCAAGGCCGCACTGGCGGGCAAAGTCGACGATCCGGAACTGCGACTGGGCAGCAACACGGACCTCCCCCGCATTCGCATGCAGCGCATGCAGCGGCATTCGCTGTCGACCGACACTCCGATGCGTACAGGCGTGCAGCTTTGGATGCGGCGCTGAAGCGCCTGGCCAGCTTTGACTCGGATCTGGAGCAGCAGCGTGCAGCCCTGAAGAGGCCAGCACTGAGACAGGATCAGAAAAGAGTGTAGAGACGCATGCAACCGACGTCGGTGCTTGTGGTCAAGCTGCTGCATAAAGCCTCTTATTCAAGGCGGCGAGTCCGGTCGTCAAGCTCCACAAGCGGCGCGCACGATGCCACGGAGCTTTCTGCGCTGGTGGAGCTCATCGACGGGCGAAGCGAGGCCTTGTCGCAGTGCGAAGCACCTTGGCCGAAGGCGAGCTTCGTCCTTCATCGTGGCACTTCGGCGCTGCTATTTTGAGCTGTTTTCGTGGAGCGATATGACCTGAGGATTTCGCCCACAAGCTTCCTTCCGAGCTGTGGCAGCTGATCTTATCCTTGCAACTTGGTGGCGATGTCCGGAGTGTGCTCAGCAGCCTATATACCCCAGAGCGAGAACACTTCAGGTGGCGAGGGAAGCTTACAGACGACTTGCAGCACCTGCTGGAGAAAATCCTTGGCCCAGATGTGGCACAGGCTAGCTGCCACACCCAATGCTTGCTAGCACCGCATGCCAATGACGATCACGGCGTCTTGATGATAAAGTCCCTTGCCATCTAGTTGCCTTTGCGAATCAGATTCAACTCGCCTTTTCAGGAAGATGCCTCTGAAGGTGGAGGGGACGGAAGACGGAGCAGGCTGTAGAAGAATGTTCGGAAGCGGTGCCTTTGAGGAGTCTTTTCCGGTAGTTTGCGCAGGGTTTCCCTACTGCAAGGCTCCGCTTCAATCGGGACGAGCCGGTGCACTCCTCAAGCTTTGATCGGCCGGGTAGTAGATGTGTTTTGTTTGGAATCTGAAGCTGGCAGTCTGTGTTGGACACGTGTGTGAGATTCTCGCGATCCCCTTCAATGCTTGACCACTCAGCGATGTCATGAAACGAGGTCGACACAGATGCAGCTCTAAGGGAAGCACGGCGCCGCATCCTGGATTGAATGATCGAGACTTTCAATTCTAGTCTCGAGACTGTACAGTCGTTGAGAATTCTTGAAGCGCAGCAGACAGACCTTGCCACAGTGAGGTCTGATGCAGCTTGCAGAGGTGTGTGGGGGGTTCGGCCGTTGTGACTGCCCCGCGATTGTTGTCAGCCCTCGTGGTTGGTTGCTTGCTCACAGTCACAGCAACTCAGTTCACACTGCAATTCCACATGCGCACAGCTGCCACTTTCATCCTCCGGCTCGCGAGGAGGAAGCGCGGCAGCGAGCGAGACTGGCGCAGCGGCGTCGGAAGCAGAAAGCGGGGGCGGAGCACGAGGAGGAGGCCTCGAGGGCCGACAGTGCTGCAGGGGACCCGCATGGACATGGTGCTCTGCTTGCAGGCCAGCCCCGGCTCTGCGGATGATCCTGCGAGCCGCTCCCGCAGGCGCAGTTGCCGAGTTTCAAAAGATGCCTGAACGCTGTCTGCACAAAACCAACTCATGACAGGCTTAAAGTGAAACCAGCCTTCGACAACGAGGAGCTCCTGTGTGCCACTGGCTTCCTGCGTAGATCTGCTGTTCCAAATTGCTGGTCGGTTCAGGAAGCACGCCGTGCTGTGGCGGAAGCTGCCCGACGCCTGGCAAACTTCGAGGCGTTTGGGTTTGGGCTACGAACGCACTCTTAAGTTTCTCACCTGACCCTTTCCCTTGCAGCAGGTGTTGATTTGCAACTTGCAGTATCTCGCAGTAACTTCTACAGACCCCATTGTCCCGCTGCAGCAAGGGCAGTGAGGGACTGCAAGTAGGCCACCATCAACTTCATGCGTCTGTGCAGGACCAGCTTGAGCTCCAGCGCTGCGGCCTGCAGCGCCGCAGAGTGCAGAAGCAGAGTGGCGAGGCCCCGGGGCGTGGGCAATTGCCCCGTCACAGTCAGGGTAGAATCGCAGCCGGTGTGTGCCCTTTGGGAGCTCTTTGGACCCGTCTCTCTCCTCCAAGTTCCTGTGGGCCTGCCCGGCCTGCCCTGCCCCGGTCCTGTCACTTTCGCACTGCCACACGAAATCCAGAATCGACAGTCGTCGGGTTTGTCGAACGGTGCATGCCAGGCAAGAAACCAGCTTGCTTGGCCGGTATCGCGAGTTTGAGAGTTGCACGTCTGCAGAGTGAGGTCGACGATGTTACTTTGCTGGGATACGCGCTTCTTCATCACGGTGCCTTACCTTAATGATGCTGACATCGCAGCTTGCGCGCAATAGCTGGCACAAAGCAATCGACATCATCTTGCCACACTTTTGCTAAAACCAGCAAACGAGGCGGTGGAAAGCTGGAAGCGCGGATCTTTTCGTATGTTTCGCCCGGGAATTCGAGGCGAGCTTGAAGCGCTGGCTGCCGAGCGGAAGGGCTGCCTCTCCGACTGCGACCGGCTTTTGCAGGTGCCTGGGATATCCTGGCAGGACACAAGGGCTGCGCTTTGCCTTCAGCTTTGCTTTGCCTGGGCTCAGGTGGCTGGCAGGGAGGGCTGGTCGAGTGAGGACGTCGGTGCGTGCGAGCAGCTGGGCGCCTCTCGGATGCATATAGGGACCTTAATAATTCGAATCTCAATAGGCCCATTATACTATAACTATATCAAAATAGTATGGCTAAGCTTCGGAAACGAAGAGACAAGAACCGAGTTTTCGCTCAAGGCCCGCTGCCGCGACTTGGATGACTCCTTCCGCTCCTGCGTGCAGACAGCCGCGCAGCTTAAGCAGGACGCCTCAAAGGCTGGGGCAGAATTCTGAATGTCATGATTTAGTCTCAATGCCCCCCCCTCCCCCGCACACCACTTATCTTGGCAAAAACAGAAAAGTAGAGAGCCGGGTCAATCGTGCACGTCTGTCAAGACAACTCTCACCACGAATGGCATTGTGCCCAGCTGCCTGCAGACTCGTGAGCACTTGGCCAGGCGGCACCTTTGCGCTTTGAAGACTCAGAACGGCGCCTGAGCACAAGAAGCTTCAATTTACTCGGAGAAGTGTGGTGGTTGGCTGCACCTTTAGGGTCTGAGGGCGACCAGGGTTTCACGAGGTTGCGGCCAATGATAGAACCCGAGGCAGGCGGCTCTGGAGGAGGCCTTGCGCCGTGTGGCTCGGTTCGACCACGATGTGGAGGCACAGCGCGAGGCACTTCGCAGGCCCGATATGCAGAAATATGATTGAAATATGCAGAAATCGCAGCCCAAGACCCGCCCAAAATGACGAGGCGGCGGAGGAAAGGTGCCACAGGTGGAGAAGCCGCTGTGGATGCCGTGCTTGCCTCCCTCTTGGAGCAGCGCCGGGAGGCCAGGCTCCAATGCGAGGCGGGAGCTGCACTCCTACTATCGGGGCCTTACCCATAGGCTCCATAGTAGTTCCTTTTTGGGATTACCCTTTAGGATTCTATATATGAACCCCACAAGGAACTACTATGGAGCCTATGGGTAATAATTACCAATACTATTTTGGGGTTCCTTATTGTTTTTCTAGTATAATATGCCCAAAGCCCTACTCGAATTAATTGTTAAGGCCCCTACACTATGCGAACCTGATGCAAGTTTTGTGGGCCTGGAGTGCTCTCTCTGCATGGTGAGTCGTTCAGGACTCACAAACGTTAGAACAATAATTTGACAATGTCAATCATTTAATATCAGTTATATATATATATATATGTGCGACAGTGTAATAGTACCTTAATGTTAAAAGAGTGGTGATAATTGACATTGGGCATGGAGTGCTCTGTTTTGCATCCTGCACAGAAACGTCAGGAGCTGGGTCGGGACTCGCCTTCTGAAGCCTGGAGCCTCATTGACTCCCTGTTCCTTGGATTGAGGGTTTAGGGTATAGGGGTTTGGGGTTGAGGGTTTAGGGGTTTGGGGTTCAGGATTTAGGGGTTTAGAGTTTAGGGGTTCAGGGTCTAGGGGTTTTGGGTTTAGGGTGTAGGGGTTTAGGGTATGGGGGTTTACGGTATAGGGGTTTGGGGTATAGGGTTCAGGGATGTTCAGGGTTTAGGGGTCTAGGGTATAGGGGTATAGGGTTTTAGGGGTTAGGGGTTTAGGGGGTTTAGGGGCATCGAAGGGTGTCGAGGTAGCGTTAATTCTCGAATCGCCAAGGTGGAGCGGCAAGCTGACGGAGAGATTGGAGCAGCTGACCGTCCATGTCTCAGTCCGGGTCCAGGCGCCCTACTCCGGGGGATGCTTGTTCCTCTTTGGTCTGTTCATGATGTCTTGTCCCTGGCAGGAGCCTTCTTCTGAAGACAGCCAGAGGAGTAGCAGGCACGGACATCGCAGCACGAACGGACAACTTGAGATTTTGGGACATCGTTGATGACTAAGACACGCCTGAAACCTTCTGCTCGCAGAGGTTCCGGGGTAGTTATAAGTAGGGTTATAAGTCCCCTATTTTGGGTTATAAGTATAGTTACCCTACTTATAACCCTACTTATGACTACCCATGAACCTCCAAGCAAGCCCATCCAAACTTCCCCGCTCTTCTCGCCAGGCAGCCGGGCCCAGGAGGATCTGTGCAAGTCCAAGTCTTCGGCGCGAAGGGCTAAATCAGATGAAATTGCTTGGAGGTTCATGGGTAATTAGAAGTAGGGTTATAAGCAGGGTAACTATACTTATGACCCATATTAAGGGACTTATAACCCTACTTATAACTACCCTGAACCTCTAAGTAGCGATTCTGTGCTAGTACCAGAATTCGGGTTCAGGAGGTTCAGGCTTTGGGTTCTGTACATGTTGCGGTAGTAGACGTCTGGGAATATGAGATATGCAGTGTGCTTCGAGACTGAGCTTGCCAGAGGGGCTGGAGATCGCTTCGAGTTGTTGAGAGTTCGTCGAGCACGTCGTTAAGTGCAACCGTCCGAAGTTTTCCCTTCAGGGTGGGTGGCAACACGAACATCTCATAGGCTTTCTGAAGAGGGCTGTTAGATTTATGTAGGGCTTCTTGTCCTAGTGGCCCAGACTGATGCATCGCACACATTCATATGATTTCACATGCACGTAAGTGGACGGCTTCGCGGCATGGCCCACATGCATGTCAGCATGTCAATGTCAGAGTACGGGGAAACGGCCAAAGCACGCAGAGAATTCGAGTGCGACAGCCCGAGACATTGACTGCTAGAGGGCAGCTGCCGGTATTTGCATGACATTTCCTGCAGATGCCAAGGTGGATACATCGGCAGAGATGGCCGAAGCGCGCAGACGCAACTAGTCGGCACGAGAAGTTGGAGTTTTTCCTCAAGTTGGCAGTCCGAGTGATTCCGGGCCTCGGACCAGCAACTGCCGCGCAACGCCCGCACTCTGAATCTTGAATCACATGCAGGTTTGGCCCAGCTGTCGGAGGACACGAATGAGATGCGTTTGTTGCCCTGGCACTCGTGCCTGCTCGTGCCTTCGTACAGCTGGTCTCCTCAGTCTGTGGGGTGTAGGGGTTTAAGGGTTTCAGTGTTGCGGGGCTTGGCTTCAAGGTTTGGGTTTCGGGGCTTTGGGCTAAAATGGTTTAGGGCTTTGGCCTTTAGGATTTAGGGTTCAGGGCAAAGCGAGCTCTACCTGCTCTGGCAACTTCTTAACGCCTGAAACCTCCAATCCTAAAACACTCTTCAAGCCCAAAAGCTTAAAAACCCGTACAGGAGCCCCTATAACGCCGTATTATAAGACTCTAAGAGTAGATTTTCCGAGACCCTAAGCCATCCTCTGAGCCTCCAAAGATCCGCAGCAGGATGCCGAGCGACAGCGGCTAGGCCTCCGTGCGAGGCGCCGCCGGGGCAAAGCTGAGGAGGTGCGCTGGCGAGTTTGTTTTTGTTTCTTCACAGTCAGGGGAGGATCGATTCCCACCCTCGAATGGTCCAGAATAGAGTCGCAGCGGTAGAGTACCACTATTAGTGAGTTAGTCGTGCGAATCGCAGATGTGAAAAAAGGAAGTGGTGCTCGCTGCAGCCCTTCTCCAACGGCATTGCCTTTGTTCGGATTCGTAGGGGTTTAGTTCATCAGTGAAACAGAATCGAGCCACAGCCGCCAGCAGGCCGCCTTTAATCTTAGAGAGGTTATTGTTCCCAGGTCCGCAGAATTTCGGATTTTTCAGTGGGCTTAGCGGTTTCGGGGTTCAGGGTTTATGTGAGTTGAGGATTCAAGGTTTTTGGGGCTGCGGCGTTCAGGGTTATGGGGTCTAAGGGTTCGCCGTTATAGCATTGTGTGGAGCGGGGGGGGGGTTTAGGGTTTAGGGGTTCAGCGGTTGAGGTATCAGGGTTTGGCAGTCCTGGATCCGTGAGGTACCACAGGGGTCTCGTGTACTTGAGGCCGGAGAACGAATCCTCCTAGTACATATCAAGCCTCTAATGCTTAACAGTAGAACAGCTACAAGAAAGCATGAACGCCTAAATGAACAAAGCTCGTTGAGGACGAGAGCCTGGCCTCCACAGGGTTTCATAGTTATTGCCCTGCTCACGGTCTCGCAACGAAGGCCGTCAAGGAAGAACTGGAGCAGCTCCCTGGCTGAGTTATAGCAGCCTCTTTGGCATGTCATGGCAGTATCAGAAGCCGTGCCAGTTGAAAGCTCAGGATCGCAGCATCTGGTGCGGAGTTTGGAGCTTTGGCAGTCGAGCACTGTGAAGGCCAGGGAAGGTTTCCGATCCCTAAGTGTTGCCTGATGCTGAATGGTATGTTTTTCCGCAGAAATGCTTCTTCATGGCACATAGTCGACATAGTCTGATTTGTGCTCCATAATCTGATTTGTGCTCGCTGTTCGTGTGCAGCTCGAGCTTCCCACTTGCTGCTCTTTTGCTTCGTGCTGCTAGCTAGTTTGCTACTATCATAACGTACTCGTACCAATGCTGCTACCGTGACCGCAACTGCTACTTGCTACTGTGACTCCTCCTCCTCCTCCTCCTCCTCCTCCTCCTGCTCCGGCTCCTGCGCCTCCCTCCTCCTTGATGATGACGACTACTACTGCTAAGATGGCTTCGTGAGCGCTTGTTTCATTCGGTGCTTCACTCTGCAACTCTGCGCTCACGTCGCAGGCCTCCAAGATCAGGAAAAGTCTCTCAGCGAGGTCTGGGCCCCAGAATCAGCGCAAGGCATTGGCCGAGCTAAAATGCTTGAGAGGATACTTGGAGGTTCATGGGTATAGGTAGGGTTATAAGTAGGGGAACTATACTTATGACCCATAATTGGGGACTTATAGCCCTACCTATAACTACCCCTGAACCTCCAAGTAGGTACGTATACGCAGCTTCTGGAGGCCTGCAAAGACCTCGCCTGCCGGCGCCGACATGTTGGGACAAGCTCAGGTCATGCAGAAAGACTCTGAAGCCATGGACGAGATTGAAGCCTGGAGACAGCTTGTTGGACTCGAAGAGCTGCAGGCGATCTGGGAAAAGGAGAGTGCGCAGGGGAGCATCGGAGAGTATGGAAGCCGGACTGTTTTGCTTCGTGAAGATTGCAATTCCTCTCTGCTCTGCGTCAGCCTCATCTGGAAAGAAGGGTGTCACTGTGTTACACACAGAGACCCTGCCTGTCCATGCAGGCTGCGGCCTCCAAGATGTCTAAGCGGCTGCAGGACGAGGTAGGGTCGTGGCTTTCATCAATGAGCAGCAGCAGTGTCTTCTGGCAAGGCGACAGGCAAGACGGTGGCTGACCTCACAGGGCTGAGTCCATCGCGATTGCCGCCTGTCAGCGAGCATGCCCATGAATTTGACGTCCGGTCACAGCAGGGGAAGAGCCCTGTGGTGGTACGGTATTCTTACGAGCACATCACGGTAGTCATGTTTGCTTCAGCCATGTGCCAGGCAACAAATTGTTGCAACAACAGCTTCATAAGCAGTAGTGTGGTAGTGGTAGTGGCACTCAGCGGTCTTCGTCGTTGTCGAAGAGCGTAACGATGCAGGAACAACCCAGCGGTTTGCATCTTGCAGTCAGTGCAGAATATCCAACATGCGCTTTCGTTCGGCAGTGTAGAGTAGAAACGGCCATGTCTGTACTTTGGACAACACCAGCGTGTAGCGACCGAGGAAGCGCCAGGGCACCAAAGGCGACTTCAGCACAGACACCAGTGCTGCCAAGCAGCAGTGCGAGGAGATGAAGGCGCCGTGCCGGTTTTCTGGACATGAGAATTGTAAGGAAGGTTATGTGTGAAGGCCAGAAAGAGCATGCATGACAGTGACTTCCGTGCAATGTGCCCTTCGGGAACGTTCTGACAGGCCCGGCTGCAGGAACTTCGTGAGGAGGAAGAGGAGACTGGGAATCTGGGACCGAGCCGAAGCTGCTCTCGAAAACCAGATATTTGACTGTTCCACGCTCTCCTGTCTGCTCCCGTCCAACAGCTATAGGCTTCTCGATGACATTGTATGAAGGAGCGGCAACGGCTGTTGCTACAGCGGCGGCAGCGGCGCAAACGCCAGGCTCGCAAACAAGCCAAGAAGTCGTGCCAGTTTGCCTCGGCCCGGTGTAGCTGGTCGGGACTGCGACTCGACAGAAAGCAGCAACGGTCATGAAAGCACCCTCGCGCTCTTCAGGAGCCACCTGAAGATGCCGAGGAGGCAGCGTTGGAGGCCGAGGCTCGTTCCAGGGAGCGCCGGGCCCAGGCGTGGCAAAATCGAGCGTAGCAGAGTGCATTTGCAGGAACTCTGGAAGCTCAGGTGTTCCGCTGTGAGCTTGTTTAGTTACCCAACCATGCCAAACTTGTCCACAGATGTCGTGTGCGCCTCGAGTGGTGTTGGCCCAGGCTCTTGCTCAAGGCCCACGAGCCTTGGCTGCAGCCGCTCTCATGTCTCAGGCGAAGGCTCCGACAGATTCCGCGAATCTCTGCTGGCGTCTGCTCAAGAACTCAAGATATTTACGTAGCTCACCATCGAAGGTGTGAGGTGAGCGATGCTTCATCGTCGTGCGATACTGGTGGCCCTCTGCTTGCTCAAGGGAGGTGGAAGCGTTTCCACCAGCTGCAAGACCCTTGGCTGCGGTGGCCGCGACAACACATGCTCGTGCGCGACATCTTGCTGGAGCTTTTCGGCGTGCTGTGACGACTATGCAACTGTTTGCCCGGAGCAGCAGCCGACCATACAGTTGGGAGACGTGAACATGCTCATAACGACAGACCTCCACTCCTGGATCGAGGGCCGTACCCACGAGTCACCCCTGAACGCGTCATTGGCTCACGTGGTCTCGGCGTTGGACCATCTGCGAGAAGCAGCTGATGCACAGAAGCGAGATGTGTTCTTCTTCGACAACGGAGACATCAACGACGGGACTGGTCTCTCAGCAACTGCCCCCGATCATGTGGAGTTCTTAGCTCCAGTGATGCAGAGCGCACGCTACGACGCCCTCAACCTCGGCAATCACGAGCTTTATCAGCGCAATGGCCATGGTATAGTCACTCGGTTCAGCAAAAACACTAATAACAGTTGTAATAGTAATAGTATTAATAATAGTAATCATAGTAATAATAATAATCTTACTAATAATAGTAGTCATAGTAATCATATAGCAATTATAGTAATCATCATAGTAGTGAGGGCAAAGCAAACCTTTGCCTGCCTTTGCTCTGAGGTCGAGGGTCCTGCTTGCCCTGTTGTTGGCCTGAAGGAGTCGGGTTACATTGCTTCTTGGAAGGGCCGTGGCTTTGGCGGCAAGAGCCTAGCACCACAGTAGAGTCTAGAGTCTAGTGATTCGAAGCTGCTGAGTTTTAGGGTCTAGGGGCACTCTGCAGGCGAAAGCAGGCAAGATTGCTTTTTGGAGGTTCAGCTGTTCAACATTGGAGGGGCTAGCACCGGCTAGGATACATGTGCTGGGATGACACACGACCTTGGAGAGATGCATGTCAAGAGGTCGAGGTCGCACGGCTCTATTGCCTGCGCTCCCAAGTCACGGCCCAGGATACCTGACCTCGAATGTGGTCTGGTCCTCAACACAACAGCCAGTTGGAAGCCGCTACACGGTTGTCGAGGGGAAATTCGGGACCAAGCTCCTGGTTTTCGGATTCCTCTACAACATGGAAGACCATTGCGATGCCGTGAGCGTCTTGGATGTGGAGCAAACTCTGGCTTCCGAATGGTTCATCGAATCCCTGGAGGCTCTTGAGAACCCATATCTGCAGGCCGGCCCCATGAGACTAGCTCCGTGCATTCTGTGCTGCCAGGCGCACCGTACCCTGTGCGATGGAGTTGTGGTCCTCGCTCACATGGACTTCCGTGATGCCCTGGTCGATAAGATTTGGGCTGCTGTCCGCCAGGGCATGGGGCCTTCCAAGCCAATCCAGGTAGGGCAATTAAGTGTATTATTACTATGATTACTGTTATTACTATGATTTCTATTATTAATACTATTACTATTACTACTGTTATTGGTATTTTGTGGAAGCATCGGAGATGCCGAAGTGTTTTGTATGTGTTGGATGTGGTCCAGTACCTTGCCAATCCAGGTCCTTGCCGGCCACTCGCACATCCGTGGGTACAGGCGTGGCCCAGCGTTGTCATGCGCATGTCACGTCGGTGGCAAGGCTTGATCCTAGATAATCGAGATAGTCGTCGAGATCAAACGGGGAGCCAGCATCCATCTGCGGTCTTCCGCACCGCATCCCCTCTAACAGTCACAGGGTGCACACAAAATCTGCTTAAGATTGAGCGAGCCGACTGCTCGACGTGCAACAATCTTTCTCTATCTTAATTTCACGATCGCAGCTATCTCCCTGTGACTGTGACACGGCACATGTTCGAATGTTGTTTTGTCTAAGCTCATCCCGCAGGCGGCTCGACACCTATGCTTCCGACACTTGGTCGCTTCATAGTGCTTGTGACTACTTGTAAGAGCGGATCCCACCATGACCGGCACTGCTGACACAGAATGGCTGATTCAGTTGTCCAAAGGTCTTCGAGGCAGGATGCAAGCTGGACACGGAACCTTGGCAGAAGGTCTGCAGGAAGACTGTGAGTAGGCGGGAGATGTCAACACTAAGGTTGGGTTTCTGTCCTACTCACATGAAGCGGATGGGCTTCGCATCGACCACGCTAACATTACGGGCAACGTTCAGCAGCTTGCAGGCGAGGACGCCGAATATCTCGCAAAAGTCAACACTAGACCCTGAGATCCGAGCAGACCAGAGAAATCAGTTATTCCTTGAAACAGTGCTGCAGCGAAGCGAGGTGCAGTGAATCGCAGTGCATCGAATCTATCTACTGCTGCGGGCGCGGCAACAGCAGATGCTATAAAAACTGCGCGCGGCAGAGCCGGCAGTGATGCTTGGACTGCGCAGATACGAGATACTCACTTTAGCATTGTGAAGCAAGATAGGCAGCTAAAGTGCTGGTTTTCGCGAAGTGGTTCACACATGATGGGATCTCGTACTTTGCTTGAGTGCCCAGAAGGCAGGCCACCTTGGCATCTAATCTATGGAGGATTCGAGATCCTGGTTGGATTGAATGCAAACGCAGCCTGCCAACCTCCTCAGCTACGCTCTAAGGAACAATTCCTTGGATGTGCAGCGCAGAGATACCGCTTGTTGGGTCCTTTGGACAACAGCTCTCTGCTGCTTGAACGAATTTGCATCGAACGGGGTGTTTGTAATACGGAAAGGATTGCAGAGGCAAATCAACGCTAGGGCCTTGTTTCTTGATCGAACTTAGCATCTCAACCCGACGACCGGCGTAGCCTTGGGCAGGTGGACGCTGTACATGAACCAAGTGTTGCCCGGAGCGCTCTTGGACTCTCCAAGATCTCAAATCGCAATTATTGGGGATGGCACACTGAGCTACGACATCTTTCCGGGACCTGTCAACGTCGATGATGTTTACAAGGCCTCTCCCTTTGCAAACTTTTGGCTGAAGTTGGACAGCATCCCTGGCACTGATGTGGCCAAGCTCTTCTCTGAGCTGATTCATCCCACGAAGTATATCCTGCCTGATTACTTGGTCACCAGTGCTCCCGTCCCTTCCTCGACTTATGATCTTGTTTTCTGCGAATATGACACAGAGGCCATTGTGGGCCGGCTGTCCAAGATTCTTGGGCAACGCTTAGAGCCCAGGCTTTACAAGCCTCTGCTTAACACTTCTAGTGTGCTGAACAAATGGTTTGAAGGCCAACCATGCGCAAGCCAGGATCTTCTCGTGTAGCCAGCTGGAGGGCTCCGGTACCTCAGCTTGTACACACTTACTGGTGGACTTTGCTGTCCGCCTTCTCCTCCCTCTGTGCTTGAGTGGTGCCGAAGGCCGACCGCGAGCGGTGGTGAGAGTCGGTCTCTGACGTGAGACCTGCAAATTCGTGAGCCGAGCGTGTTCAACACAGGCTGTAAGCAGACTGCGCAGGGAGAAAAACCCTGCAAAAGCCTTGGCCTTGTCGGCCTGTTGAAGCTGTGTCTGTCAGATCTGGGTGTCAAGCGGTTGATTTGAAGGGAGCTCATGCTAAATCGTAGGACCGAGCTTCTTGCAAGAGCACTCTACCCCCCGAAGCCAGCTTTCAAAAGCAACGGTATGCCCACCAGTGAAGTCGAGCGTCTCAGTATCATAGCCAAGGAATGCCTGGTCGATGGTGGCCAAAAAACAGAAGACGTTCAGGCCTGGATCTCAGGTTTAAGTGCAAAAGGGTAGTATTTCAGTGGCGGTCGAAGCAAATTGCATCAAAGGCAGTCCTTTGGGAAGTTGGGGCACTTATCATTCGCCGTCATTGTGTCCTCGTCGGCTGCGCCTCCGACGTCGCAGGACCTGCGTCAAAAGCTGCGGGAGCTTCGCGCCGAAGGCTACGAGGAAGCCGTGTCGAAAGAGGCACGCAGGTTCCGGACTTGATTGGGGTCGCTTCTGGTCGGCTTCGCCATCATATGATGCCTCCGGCTTAACTCTGCAGGTCAGATTTCTTCGTGTCCATGTCAGGAGCCAGCAGAAGCAGTGCAGCCGCCCGAACCGGAGCCGGCGAAGCCACCAAAGGAACCTCCGAAGGACACACTTCGTGGCGCGTGATCCGTACAAAGCCGAGTGTATGACAGCAAAGGGTGCACGAGTCGCATATGACGGCCCGCTGAGCTGACAGCAGAGTGTTTTGTAGCTGGCCAGGAGGAGCTTTTGGCGGCTTTGGCCGCCTCCGAGCAGCGGACGGACTGGGTGAACTTGCTGCAGAAAGTTCCAGGCTTCGAAGACAGAGCCCCTGTCGCTCGCGCTATTCATGCAGAGAACCCCGACAATCACATAGGGAGTTTTCGAAAATAGTACCCTAAATTGTATAGGATCCTTATTATAAGTACCCCCCCCCCCAAAAAAAAAACGGTATCTTCTTTATACCACAATTTTTTCGGAGACTCCCACATGCCAGATCTGTCAAATGCTAAGGTCAGCTCGATGGCCGCCAACCTGCTCTCGCAGCTTGAAGCCTTTGCCTCAGCATATTTCAGCATCTACAGTACCCAGACACTCCAATATCCCTTAATTACGGAATATGCCTTAAATCATATCAGGAGATCCTACTGTAATTTCCGGTATATTCCTTAATTAAGGGATATTAGGAGTCTCTGGGTAGCTGCTACGGTTGATGATATAAACCTGCATTACCCATATCTAAGGAATATACCATAATTCCCATAGTTTAGGGTCCTTACTGTAAGGTAATGCAGGATTTATATCATCAACCGTTAGGGAATAGGGCTAAAGGCTCCTTTAAGGGATCCCTAAGGGATCTTTAACCGTAGCTCACATCGATCCATGCTCCGATGCTTCCGTGCGGTTTTCAGGAGCAGCAGCTAGAGTCCACGTCAGCACTCCGCATTCTGGGCTGAAGAAGCCTCGTAGCCTGGGGTGTACAGAGCACAGTTTCAAGCTTGTAGGGAAGCGTTCATTGACAGCATTCCTGCTGGGGTCAGCATTCCAACGAATCCCAGAGCGAGGAAAAAGGGTTCACGGTTCATATCCAGCAGACTGGTGCGAAGGTGGTCTTCGAGGACCGTGATCAGCAAGGAGTCCACCTTGGAAACGCTGTGGCCGCCGTGGTTGACAGGCATGCTGTCGGCGTCATTGTTGTGGTTCTGGTTGTGGTTGTGGGGTGTTGTTGTTTTGTTGTGGCTGTCGCGGTCGCGGCGATGGTGATTGGGGTTGTGGTTGTCGTAGTGGTTGTGGTTGTTGATGTTGTTGCTGCTGTTGCTGCTGTTGTTGCTGCTACTGCCGCTGCTGCTGATGAGATTTGGTCGCGTCAACGAGCCCGACTGCAGGTGGCGAGGTCAGCTGCCCAAAGAGACTGCAGCAGAGCTGGAGGAGGCAAGTCATGTGGAACAACCGTTGCATCGCTTTCATGAACAACTCACTGCTGGAGTGCGATTCTACTCTGCAGGCAGCTTCGGGCAGCATGGAATGTCTCAATCGACTCGGCGATGCCGCACAGCAGGACCCTCCGCATGCGATCGGTTCTTTAGTGAATTCCCTTACCGAAAGTGCAGCAACCATATCAGAAGAGTGAGCGTGTGCTTCTGCTGCGCGAGGCAATGGCCCAGCAGGCACTGTCCTGCCCTCGCCGAGACGTAGCGACGTAGCGACGCATTCTGGAGCAAAGTTGAGGGAGGCTTCCTCATCCAAGGTGCAATCGAAGATATGTGAATCCGAATCGGCGACGAGTGCGTTGAAGTTTGCGTGGCAGACATATGTGCATGGAGCATCCACGTTGCTACTTGTAGAGTGCTTGGAGGTTCAGGGGTAGTTATAAGTAGGGTTATAAGTCCCCTACTATCGGTTTTAAGTATAGTTACCCTACTTATAGCCCTACTTCTAACTACCCCTGAACGTCCAAGTAGAGTGTTGCAGGTGGTTACTGGGGAGGAGCGCGACTTCCTGCTTGGCAGCTGGCGAAGTCAACTGGTTGGAGCTGCACAGGCCCGGGGTAGGGGTTTAGAGGTTTAGGGTTTAATGTAGGGTTTAGGGTTTAGGGTTTTCTCTATGTCTGGCGCAGCCGTGCAACCCGGTCTGATGTGGCAAACATTGGCAAACCACATGGGAGTTTCCCAAAATATGGGACCCTAATATAGTACCCTAGATAGTAAGTAGGATCCTTATTCTAAGGACCCCAAAATAGGGTACTCCTAAATTTTCGGGAACTCCCACATCTTCCACAGGAGACCGAGAAGCAGTCCTCCAATGAGCAAGAGGACGTCCCGACCTGCTTCGGAAATTGGGTCTTTAGATCAGTACTTGGAGGTTCAGGGGTTCCTTTAAGGGTCCCTTTAAAGGGATCTATAGGGATTCTATAAGGGTATAGGTTTTAGGGTTCAGGGGTAGTTATAAGTAGGCCCCAATATGGGTTACAAGTATAGTTACCCTACTTATAACCCTACTTATAACTACCCATGAACCTCCAAGTAGGTCTGTCTGACGGATGCATGGGCCGCAACGAGCTACGGCCCAACCAGTCCAAGCCCTCATCACGTGGTAGTTTCTTGAGATCTCCCCGTATCCCCAAACCCTACAGAATAGTAGTTTATGACCCCTTAATTATAGGGTCTAACCCCTAAAACAGTAGGTCTTTGGATCCCAGGTCAGTCTGAAACAGTGCGAAATTGTTCAGGAGATTCGTGCTCGGGCTTCGGCCCGGCGCAGGGAGCGGCAGGAGAAAAGAGCGAAGGCCCAGTACATGCGACGCCAGCTGCCAGTAAGGGCATGGACATAGTTCCTTTTTGGGATTACCTTATAGGATTCTATATATGAACCCCAAAAAGGAACTGGAGGACATGGTAGATCGATTTGCTGTTAATGATGTTGAGCTTCTCGGGCTGATGCCTTCACGCGAGGCCACGTCGGAGACCCAGAAGCGCCAGTCCCGCTGGAGGGTGCGACCTGATTCCAGCTTGCTTAGCACGGCGTTCTGGCTGCTGTTGGTGCAGAAGCTGCTAGCTTGTACAACTATAGTGATTAGTCCAGGATTCCGCCATGATGAGACGAAAGAACTGCTTAGCGTCTTTCTGATCTGAACTTGCGGCTCGCTGTGTCACCAGCCCCAGCCTAGAGTTGCGGCCCGGCTATGGAGGGAGACCGCGCAGGCACGGATTTGATTTAGAAGCTGCCGGCAGATGAACTCCCACTCCCAAGAGCGGCCTGTGCCGGCTCAGCGAGCCTAAAGCATGCTAACTGCTCCTGACAGTGCGGTTTTCCCGTGTACATGTGTCATGGAGGTATGAACAGCTCTTCCGATGTGTAGTCTCGCACAATCTCGCACAGCACTCTCATAACACCCCCCCAGACAATTAGATTCGCTATACACGCACACACATTAACATACAGATCGGGCCATGCAGTTGAGTAGGGCTGGAGGACAGCTTCTCCATGCAAGGTGGAGTTCATGGGGCTGGACATCGAAGAACACGACTGCTGGTCGATCGCTTATCTGAGTATGCTGAGCGTCGGGAGTTGTTTTCAAGATTTCTCGAAGGGCACCAAAGTCGTTAGGGTTTAGGGTTTAGGGGTTTAGGGTTTAGGGTTCATGGAGTTTTCCGGCAGCTCTAGCCATGGGGAAGACTTGTTTCCGTGGACGGATGAGTCCAATCTAATCCATCAGAGTCCTGCGTTAAGTTGTCGTGTTCAGTCCTCACCTTGCCAGCATGGCCAACTTCCCTGCTGGCCATCATGTGTCAAACTCGTAACAGTGTGCTACGTCATTGCTTTCGCTCAGGTTGGCAGCATAGTCGCTGCAGCTGCAGGAACCTTAGCCGTCCGAGCTCGCAGTCAGCACATGGCCAGCAGAGTGGGACGTGCTAGGAGGCAAAATCTGCCATCAACTCCTGGATTTTTTATTTACCATAAGAGGGATCTACACTAAATAATATGGTTTCCTTATTATGGTAGCTGAAAAACCAGCCCTTAACAAGAACCCAGACTCCCCCTGCATGCTCACCGCACAGGTTGTCGCCGGAAGCCTCACGTCCCAGGCAGGGTTCTGGCATAATAATAGTAGAAATACTAATAGTACCAACACTAATGGTAACAACAATAATGATAATAGCAATATTCATAATAATAATAATGATAATAAGAGCCGCTTTGGGGCTCTTTTCTCTTCCGGGCGCCGGCCCCGAGTTCATTCGCCAGGGTGCCTTCGCTATTATAGTATTCTAAATAGTAGGATCCTTATTCTCAGAACCCAAAATAAGGTGCCCCTGATGTTCCGAAAAGTTGTCCCAAAAAGTTCGAGAAGCTTCCTGCGGGTAGTCCGGGCTCACTGAATGCATGCATGTTTCCGCCCGAAGCATTTGAGGCCGATGATTTGTGTCCACATGTGTGCACTCCTGCCTCAGACAAGTCGCGAAGAACCTTGCCAGCAGTCTGTCCTTCTTTCATTACGTAGTTCCATCCAGACTGTTGGCCTCAGAAAAGACACAACGATGACCAAAGAGTCCGTGGCCATGGATTGTTCCTGCGCGCTTCCGCAGAAGGCGGCCGGCGCAAAGGCTCCAGCCATGGAATCAACACTCGCGCAACAGGTGTCTCAGCATGCTTGGGCATATGAGGTATTGGCATTGCAAGCGTTCGAAGAGCTGAGGCGATGAAACCGCTGGTGCCTCGAGCCCCTGAGCAGGGTAAGGGCAACACTCCATCGTCCTTGCGTGCATTCAGGAAGGGTTGGGGTTGGCTCTGCAACTGCAGCGGTTCACTGCCAAACAGGCTCTAGCTTTAACTGCAGGCAAAGCATGCGCTGTTATGCTGCACTGGAATGCAACACGAATGCAGGATGCGAAATCTGCAGATGGCTCGGGCCAGCACACAGCTCTGCGAGGAGAATGACTTGGAGATCACTGCAGTTGCGTTCTTTCCTCAACACTCAACACACAGAATCTGTGCATCATGCATCATGCCCTTCAGCGGAAACGCAGAGGCAGACGTTCTTCGCAGTTGAAGAAGCGTGGCGAAACTCTCAGTGAGGTCCGAAGAAGTTGACGAGGCCGAGGCCCTTCGACAAGACGTCCCGAGCCTGCAGGCCGAAGTAAACGTTGCCATAATTATTGTTATTACTATTAATTTAACGCTACGCCGCTCGCCTCGGCTCTTTAGCGGCAGGGCGAGGGGGCAGTCGATGTTGTTTTCATGCTTGGGGGGCCTCTCAACCCCAACCTTTGCACGGTTGTTGATACCCAAGTGCGGAAACGCCATCTTCGCGGTTGTGGGGAAAACTGGGGCAAGGGTGGGGGAGGGGGGGGAGGGGGGGAGGGGCTGTCACCGGACAAGAAGATGGCAAACGAACGCAAAAACAGGGTGTCTCCAAACATTTGGACTGCAGGGAGGAGGATTAGGTGGAGGGTACCTGAGGTAACCCCCAAGACGCCTGGGCCTGTGGCCTCGGCGGATATTCTTATATATTCTTATTATCATTAGTATTATTACTATGAATATTACTATTATCATTATTGTTGTTATTGTTTTTGTTGGTATTACTATTATTATTATTATCATTATTATTATTATCATTATCATTATCATTATCATTATCATTATTATTATTATTATTGTTATTTCTACTATTATTATGCGAGCTTCTGAGGGGCTTGGGTCAGTTGCACCAGAGGCCTGCACCATGGAGCAACTGAGACCTACAGGGACTAGTAGGGTAAGGGGTCATGACGATGCCGTCATGTCTCTAGACGGTACTAGTAACAGCTTGGGCTCGGGCTCGCGGTCGTATTTGGGAGTTTCCGAAAATAGGTGACCCATTTAAGTACCCTAAGTACTAGGATCCTTGTTATAAGGACCCCAGACAATAAGGTACTGTACCCCTAATTTTCGGAAACTCCCATTTAGAGACGGTTAAAAAGAGCCCCAGATCCGGAGGCGCTTCTGCAGACTCGGGAGCGTCGCCTGACGAAGCGTCATGCAGCGGCGCTTCACTGGGCTAAGGGCGAGGCCTCTCTGACTGGGAGCAGATCTGAGAGGAGTGCAGAGAGAGACATAGAGCTAGTGAGCTCACGGAATGTAGGGATCTAGCATGGAGAGGCTGTCGCTTCCTGGCTCGTTTCTTGAAGGCTTCTTCTTGCTGAGGGTTTCGAGTTGAGAGTTTGGATGGGCACGGAGTTCGGGCTGCGTCTCGATTGTCGGTGTCCGCCGTCGCAATCGGAGTCGTGCTAGCATGGCAAGCAGAGACCGAAACTTCCTGACCTGGACATCTTTGTCCCGTTTTCTCATGACCGATTGTGGAGTGCAGGCACTGGACAGGCTGGGAGGAGCATACGAAGCTTGGAGATGCATTGATTGGGCCAGGTACAGCAGCCATGTCGTCGAGCTAAGCCCGACTGAAGCAACCGTGAGCGAGACATTGCAAGCACCTTTGAATACGCCTGCGACATTCCATGAAGAAGCGCTAGACTGGACACGACATCAGTCATCATCATCATCATCATCTTCATTATCATCGTCATCATCGTCATCATCGTCATCGCTGTCGTCATCGTCATCGTCATCCATTGTTACCTTCATGCTCATCATCATCATCATCACCATCGTCTGTATATGTATATACGCATAGTATACACATGTACATATATATGTATATACATACAGTCGGAGACTAGGACAGTCCACATTCCTGCAGCAATTGAAAAGCCGTGTGGGCTGCCATGCATAGCTGAAGCTGAAGGCCACGTGCGACATCTTCACAGAGGACCAAACAGCGCGTGCGAAGTTGATGAAAGACGAACAGTTCAGCCAGCAGCGCTTACATAGTATTTTGGAGACCGCTTGCAGCCGATCTCCATGCCAATCAGTGGTAGAATGAAGAACTGTTGCAGCGAACATCCAGTGTCGCAGCAGTTTCTGCAGCCTGCATGCGTGCTACTACGATGTGCCGTCATTTGATGGCCTCTGTGGTGTCGGTGTCATGCCCAGCTTAGTTTTGCATTTTCCAACGAATCGGGAAATGCCGTGTAAGCAGCTTCTTGAGAAGCTGGGTTTCTGTGAGACGATGTCGTGAGGTCGAACCCATATGGCCGTCTGTCTGGCATGTGTTGGGTCGCAAAACCCAAGTGCCGCACTGAAACGCCATGAGAATTCTTTACTCGAATCATTATCAGTCATTGCTGAAGCCGTGGCAAGAGAGCATGTTCTGCTTTGCATTCCAATTCAACCATGTTGCGAAGACTTGGTGCTCTGTCACCAAGCCTAAACATTGCTTTGCCAGCCCGGCTTTTTCGTCTTACGCTCAATAGCTGAGCTCTTCAGGTCCAGAGCTCGCGTTGCGCATGTCTTCCATTTTTAGTACATCCCATGCTCCAGGACAGCCCCAGAGATGTAAAGATGATGTACATGATTACATGACGCTTCAAGGCAACATATGTAGGGTCTCGTGCTTCCTTCCCAATCTTGCAGAGCAGCCCAGCAACTTGCAACAAGGAGGCATCTCTGCAGGGGCGCTGACGTTAGAATGGGAAGTTTTGTTTCTTAGGTTCGGCAACGTGCCAATATTTGGCTGTCTCCAATCCTACAAATCGTGTCTTGATCTTCATGGCGAGAAGACGACACACAAGTTGAGCCTAAGTACCAGATCTCCAGTGATAGGATTGGGTACGACTCTTGCAGAGAATGCATCACTTTAAGTCGGCTGATGAGCTGCTTGTGCTTCTGTCGGCCGCTGCAGTGGATTTGGACCTCTGCCTCTGGGCAGATGTGCTAGTCGGTGCTCCCGGAAATGCGTTCACCCGATGTCCTCTTCATGCTAACTCAGGAAGGTGGACTGAATTCAATGAGGCATGAAGTATCCGGAGCTTTCGTGAAAACGCGGCTCCATTTACGTGCTGAAGCTTCTCTTCCCAATGCTTCCAAGCCCAAAAGGACCTTTCTTAAATCTTAT